TGCTTCCCCCCTTCCCCTTTCCAGTCAGCATAAGCTATTAGAGGTTGGAAATAAAGGGGCTATTTTAGAAAAAGAAGAAAAAACAAGTTTAAGGTCAGCCTGAGGTTCAGAATACTGCTGTGGGTGACTATTCCTTCTTTGAAGGAAACCCAGTGACTTTGCTAAATAATAAGACATTTCAACCCTCGTGCAATCACTCGCACCGCACAATCCTTTAGTGTGAAATTTTTGTTAGAGTCTCAACCAACAGAAACATCAGGAAACCTCATCTATCCAGAATGATGCACAATCAGAAAGCAAATACGTACCCCTAAAACCTCTGGGCAGCCAAAAGGTCACAAAACCCTTGCAATCTATTCAATACCAGAGCCTCTAAGTCCACACGAAGGGGTTTACTTTCATTTGATGCCAGAGTCCCGGGTTTGGGCTGCTTTCCAATCTCTCTGTAGACTAGAAGCAGCAGATCTGAGATGAAGCCAGAGCCGGCTCCTTACAGCTGTGAGGCAGGGCAGAGATAAGAAAAACAGGAGTCAGAAACCTCACAAGCCCAGCGGGGAAACGTCTCACCCACCCCAGCAGCCCCTGAGACACAACTGCGCAGCAACAAGCCCAAGTTATAAAGAAAGGCTGAATTATGTTTACCCTTTTATTTAAGGTTGAAATGACATGTGTAACACACTTTAGAAAAATGATTAAAATGTGAAATTGAGATGCCTCCTCGAGACTCTGGGTTGCATGTGACAAACGCCCAACCTAAACTGGTACAAAAAGGGGAGTTATTAACATTTTTTGTTAATCCAGAGGTATCCTTGCTTCAGACACAAGGGATTCTGGGAGGCGTGAGCAGTGTCTTCAGGACCTGACTTCATCTCTTTTTTCCTTCGATGATGGTGTTAGTCTCAGACCAGCTCTGCCCTCGTGGTGGCAGGGTGGCTGCCAGTCGCTCCAAATCTGGTGAAAAAGAGACCCTCGTCTAGTCTGACCACACAGGTCAACAGGCAAGGTTAACTCTAGCTAGACATGGTTAGCTTGGCGTGGGTCCCATGCCCATCCCAGATCCATCCCTGTGGCCAGGGGTTTGCACAATGTTCTGATTGGCCAAATTTGGACCACATGTCTACTCCTAGAGCAGAGGGTGAGTCTGCTCCACCCAAAGCTGGGAGACAGAATGGGAGAGATGAGCAACACTGGGGGTGGGAGGTGGGGGTAAACGTTCCCATGAGAGAGGGAGTAAGATGTCGGGCAGAGAGCAGCTACTGTCTACCAAGAGAGGCCAAACCTGTAACCATCTAGACTATCCAGCAGGGCTCTTTCTTGTGGGCTCTGGGTATAGTTACTTTTTATATTCACAAATGAACATGACCAATGACTTATATTTTTAAAAACTGATTGTGACAATATAAAATGATGATGATTCTGGAATTTTCAATTACGTGACTGACTTCCCTTCTCATACCATTTGGAGTTTGGGGTTTTTTTTGTGTGTGTGTGTTTTTAATTGTCACCCAAGGCCATGCTTAGAGAGAGGAAGGGAGAGAGAGAAAGAGCCAGAGAAACATCAATGTGGGAGAAAAACATCCATCGGTTGCTTCAGTACGCACCCCATCTGGGGACCAAACCCACAACCCAGGTTTGTGCCCTGACCGGGAATCGAACCAGCAGCCCCATCAGTGCATGGGACAGCTCTCAAACAACTGAGCCGCTCAGCCTGGGCAACTTTTGGGGTTTGGTCTTCTGTCACTGGAAACCAAAAGGGCCTGGACAAAGCATCTCAATTTTTATTTTATTTTTTTCATTCTCTTTTTATTGGGTATGGCCATGGAACCAGAACCCCAGGAAGAGGAGACTGCTGTGGACTGTTCCCCAACTCTTGGGAGGAGCAAAATTCTCATTTCTCCCAGTGTGTTCAGATGATCTGTTTGGGAAACACCACTTAGCAGAATGGAAGCAGAGGAGTGATGGGCGCCCCGCTGCTTCCAATTAGCTGGCAGGCCCCGGGGAGGGTGACCTAGCTGACACTGCCGGGCTGAGAACCCCGCTCCAGGAGAGCAGCGGAGTCACCACCCTCTTCAGGCACTCTCAGTGGCAGTCAGCAGGCTCCCCGGTGCCCCCGCTGGTCCCTCACACAGGGGTTGCCAATGAGCTGTGCCTTCTGTTACCAACAGGCAGAGGAAATTGGGGAACGCCTCCTACACTCAGCAGGTGTGGGGAGTCTGGGAGAGTAAAATCACCTGTCCGTGGGGTCCCACCCAGGGCGGCAAAGGCAACTGAACCTGGGAGCGACAGGCGGGCAGGGAGCGCTGGCGGCTTGCTCAGCACACGGGGCTGCGGAGCTCGGGCTGGGGCTGGCGTGGACCGAGGACACCTTCAGATTCGTCCTCCAGGTCAGTGCTTTCCAAACTACTTGGGGGGTGCCCAGTCATCTCCCATGACCGACCGACCCATCGTCACTACGTCGCCTTCCTAGGTAAGAGCAGCCGCTACCCTGACTTGTAACTGCATGGCTTAGTTGACACAGTTTTTATTCTTTATCTAAATGGAATCTAAAAAGCATTGCTCTGGCATCTGGCCTAATTCATTCAACATTGTTCAGGAGATTCACTGTATTGTTCATCCTCATGACTATCCCGTATTCGCTCCTGGTGACTATCACAGTTCATTTACTCATTGCTCCGTTGATGGGCATTTGAGCAGTTTCCACGGCTGCCGTGAACATTCTAGCATGTCTTCTGGGGAACTTGTGGATGCATTTCTGCTGCATGAGTAACTAGGAGTAGAGCTGCAGGGACAAAGGTTTGCAGGTGCCAAGCATCAGTAGCTACTCTAAACCTTTTTAAAGGCACTTTTCATATTCCGTATTACTTTCATCTTTGTTGTGAATTTATTTCATTTCCCTTACTAGATTAGAAGTGGTTTGTCAATTGAATGAATACTGTTCATGCCCTGCTTCACTTTAAAATGTGGGCTCTCACATACAATATGAGATAGAAAACTGAAATGAGAAAGCAGTAAGGAAAATAAAGTCAAGGGCGAAAAGGAAAAGTGAATGGAATAGCCCAAATACATTCCACAAGCTCTTGGTGCTGTTTTAAAAAGCCAACCGCAAGTGTGGTTGGGCCTCCTATCAGCCAATACAAAGAGGGAAACAAGCAACACAGTCAATGTGCACAGGATAACTGTACCAACTGTTCAGCAGTGTGGCGACTTTTGGTTCTGAGGTTTAAAAAATGTCACCCCAAGTCTTCCTAAAGAGGAAATTGTTTGATATCAAAAATAAAGGACCAACTTTATTTGAGTAATAATAAGAAATGTTGTCAGTGGCTCCCCTTCCCTTATAATTTCCCTCAATATGGACATGCCAAAGCGCAGTTCACTATAAGCAACAATTAGGGAACTAATGCAGCCAGACACACAATTCTCAAAAGCTCTGACTAAATCCAAGGGGGGGGGAGGGGGGACTAGATTCAAAGTGTGGTCCAGGGACCTCTAATGGTCTTCGAGACCCTTATAGAGGTTCTGTGTCGTCAAAAGTAGTCTCACAATGCGACCAAAGTGTTTACCCATTTTACTCTCATCTTATGAGTATAAAGAATGGGGTTTTCCAGAGGCCATGAACTGTGATATAGCAACAAATCGAATGCAGAAGCTGAACTAAGAATCTAGCTGTCTTCTATTAAGATGGATATTAAAGAAATTAGCGAATTATCTTGTCTTGGGAAGTAATTTTTTATACAATGTCTTTTTTATACAAATATATGTCATACTAACCTAATGAATCTGTTGTTATTCTTAAATGAATCAAATTATTTTTTTTAAAAATTGTTTTACTTTCTAATATGGAATCTACTGATATAACCCATATAAAGAGAAACATTTTGGAGCTCTCAAAAAATTTTAAGAGTGTTAAAGGGTCCTGAGACCAAAAAGTTGGAGAAGCACCAGTCTAGAGGAAGATTTTCCCCAAAGGATGTTGATGGTCACTAATCCCTGAAGATAATCGGTGAAAAATGTTGTGATCAAATACATCTGGGAAATGTTATGCCTCTCTCGGAAATCATCAAATTAGAAGCAAATAGTTAATTAACTTTAACTGTTTCCTAAATGTGTTGGACTAAGATCCCTTTTTCAGTGCTTTCCTCAGCATCCGGGAGACACACCTGGGAAGGATGAACTGCGAGGCCCTCTGTCAGTCCTCATGAGTGGCATCCTTACAACCGGCCTTTGTCCAGTGTGGGCAGCGGAGTCTGACACTACCCCTCTGACAATAGGAAGAGTGATCCTTTTATAAACATCAAGCAGCTGAGCAGAACAAGAGAGCCCCCTTTATCTCGGGAAAGAGGTGAACCAGGGCAGGGTCAAGGCCAGGACAAAGATCCCCCTCAGGAGACCAAACTGAGTCTGTTTCATCTGACAAACAGGCAGTTGAGGCCCCAAAGTTCTCTACGATGCTCAGACAGTCATCTCAGCCTGGCTGTCTTCCAAAGCAGATGGTACACGCGCTTGCCTCAGTCACAGAGAAATCTCAATTAGGCACCCACAGAACATCTGACTTTCAGTTACACAACTTCCTAGTGGCCCTCCAAGGAAAATAGTGGTCAAATGTACCCTGAGTGAGTCACCTGCTTTTATTGGGTTGTTAACTGTAAGTCAATTAAATGTTAGGGAAACCCTACCAAGAATGATGACTTTGGTTTTGGAACAATCTTACTCCTTTTGACAGTAATTACAGAATCGGGCCAGTTGTCTGTTAAGCAAACTCCCAGTTCACAATAATGAACTGATGTCATCAGGCAGCTCATCTGAAGAGAGACGACAGTAATGTGCAAGGCACGCTGGGAGATCGAAAACTGGAAAAGAGATGTGTCTTCAAAAGCGTATAAATCTAGTGGAGGCCGGACAGAGCACTAGAGGAAGAAGTGCGCATTCTCACGCCCGTCTCTGCAGCACCTGGCGAGGCACCTGGTGGAGAATCGCATTCAGTAAATATTTGTCTCAACAAATTTGCTATTTGCCTTTAAAATTTTTACTTGTAAACAAACTGACAAACACCACAGAGCCAAGTATCCAGTCAAATATAATCTAGTCAAATAGTCCTTCTCGGTATAATTTAATGAATTTATAAGAAAGAATTTACAGAAAAACTTAGACCGTTGTGGAGTAAGAAGAAATCATTTTAATATACCCATTTCCACTTCTGTTAAGTCAACACTGATTCCTACTATGCATACATTCCCATGTCGTTTGACTTGCTTCCTATTTATTATTTTCCAACATGCAGCAACCTTCGACGAGTTAGTTCAGCGGAACTGTTTATTCTTAAAGGGTACAATGAACCTTGTCCTCAAAGAGTTTTATCAACTTTAACATTTTCAAAGAGGCCTATGAGGCTGCTCGGCATGGTGGATTTTCACAGGAATTTTCTATTTGGAAGGTGGGGAAACAGATGGGATCCTCCCGCACCCTGGCTGCTTGTATTCATATCACAGCATGGCTGGGTTAGTGGAGACTGAACAATAAGTAGCTCTCCAACACAGCTGGGTGAGACGGCTTCATTTTTAGAAAGTAAACCAAATCACGAAAACCTTCCTAATGGTGTGATTTGTTCCAGGGTTCTTTTGATACTTAAGAAGGGAAATATTAATCCTTGTGCACAGTACTCTCATTGATGGCATTATAGAGTTTTCTTCTCCAGCCGCCGTCCTATAGCGAGGTGATTTATTATACTTGCTGCAGAATAGAGCATGAAGATGTCTAATTTCATAATCAGAGCTGGTGACAGCCTTCTCATTTCCTGCCAAATGGATCAGACCACACTTTTAACCCTAGAGGAAGAAACAAGAATGAAAACAGGATTTGTTTTTTAAACTTCCTACCACTTTCCTCAACCCCCAACAAACAAAATGACATGAGAATTAAGTCGTGCAATTGACAGGCTGTCTGAGCACAGGCGAGCTGCTGGGGCCCCGGGATAGCCGGCTAGGAAGCCCTGGCAGCCATGAGAGCGTGTAAATGGCTCAGATTGCCCCACAACAGGAAGATATATATCTGGCCTAGTTAAAAATGAAATAAAAAAGAATCCTGCCACAGAATTACAAGAGTTTGGGTTAATAAGCTGGAACCCTCTCATTCTCAGCCAACTGGCATCGTCATCTTTTTTTTAAAATCCTCACCTGAGAATATTTTTCCATTGCTTTTCAGACAAAGTGGAAGAGGGGGGAGAGAGAGAGAAACATCGATTGGCTGCCTCCTGCACATGCCCAACTGGGGCCAGGGACTGAGCCTACAACTGAGGTACATACCCTTGACGGAATCGAACATGAGACCCTTCAGTCCACAGGCTGACGCTCTAACCACTGAACCAAAGCCACTGGGGCCAACCTGGATCATCTTAAAGTAACTAACCATCCAGCAATAAAGGGAACTTTTGAGCTTTTGTATAAAACAGAATCCCGCATCAATTAAAATAGCTCACAAGTAAACAGTATTTTCCCATGAGGGTGGTGTTTAAATAGGTGCTTGGTAAATAAGTCCGCAAAACAGCTATTCACACTTCATATTTAATTGTAAACATTACATTTTTCTGCTTACTTATCAAGGGGTAAAGAGGAGGGTGCAAACTAACAAAAAATATTCTGGAGGGATGTATTAAAATGAAATCTCGGAGTGGCACCTAAGAATTGGCAACTGCTGTAAAATAAGTAGCACAATCACAATCTAGGCCCCTAAATGGAAGACTTCTCCCATTGCAAAGCAAACACCCCTCCCCCACACACAACACAACAGCACAAAGGAGACTTTGCTTTGATTGTTAAGTTTACCTGGTGGCTGCACGTCTTCTTGAACAATACCTGCCCGGTTTACAGCTTGTTCCTTCTCTGAGAAACACAATGGAAAAATTACTTTTTAGCAAGAAGGGGAGGCAGTGGTGGTGGAAATATTTGTATTTTACACGGGACACGAAAGGACAGTTAGAAACCAATATATGAGTGCTATTAAATTCAGAGATGCCGTTACTCAAAGTTTTTAGGTTATGGAAGTTAGATCCTATAGCAACAACCTGGGTATTTTCAGGGAAAGAAAGAAAACCATATTTCAAAAGAAAAGCTCCCAACTAACATATTTTCTCTGTGTGCTCAGCATTTTTGGAAAGGCAACAAAACAACTGAAAAAACAATTTTGAAAGAGCTGGTGGGCGTGATATTATGAGGGGAAGGCTGCTGAATTGAAGGAACAAGTGCAATTAACAGAAAACGATGTAGTTTATATGTCCAAAATGTACTCCACTGAAGGACTAAGCCCAGAGCTAAATATGCTATGTTTTTGATAGGAAATAGAGCAGAAAATTAATCTTTGGGTGGGTGGCTTTGGTTTGGGTAATTGAAGCTTCCCTAATTGATTGCAGGTGCTGTGCCAATTAGGAAGTGTGTTCTAGCTACAGCAGCTTGGCCGATCTCTTTGGAGATGTCCAACAGGCAAGGGCCAAGAGAAATTGGGCGTTTTATGTCTGTGGGCTTCAAGCACCCTGACACATCTTTCTAAGTGGCTTAGAATAAACCCAAGGTCTGTGAAAACAAAGACCTATTATTTTAAGTATCTCGAAAAACAAATGGCCTTTCAGGGGAAAGACTTGGAGCCAAAGTATGTTTACTACTAAATTACAGTAATTAAATGTTGTAATCAGACCTTTGTTTTAACCAGACTGACAGTATTCCTTTAAATCCACATTTAGCTCTTATTTAATATTAGACCGTTTTCTTTATTCTGGCCTCTGAATTCTCATAAAGTTATACAAGCATAAAGGTACAAGAAATAGGGTTTTGCCAAATCGAATATTCATTGAATTTGCGTCTCCAGCGATGTGGCAGAAAGTCAATCCTAAGTGACCTGCCTGATAGTTTTATCAATGCTAAGTTTTGCTTTGGCAAATAAAAAAGCTGGGCAATAGGGATGACCTGAATCTTGATATCTATTCTAAGAGAGGCAGAGGGAAGACAGAGCATAATGAAGCCCATTACAGACGATGGCCCGCCCTGGTTTTGCTGGGCCTCTCTGAAAAGTGGTGGGTGAACAACAGCCAAGACCCTCTGGCCCAAGATATGCTGAAGACTTCTTCCACCTACAGCGGATGACAAGGGGGCCTCTAGGTGTCAGACGTCCTAAAATAACTCAACAGGGGATCTCATTTCCTAAGATGTTAAAGTCCTGGAGGGCTGGGCCCTCCCCCAGTGCCAACACCGATGTCTCAAAGTCTGGACGTGTCTCAAACATGCTCTTAGAAAATTCCAGTTAGTAAAAGACTGACTATACTGTCATTGATCATGCCAGGAACAAAAAGATATAATTTTCCACACCTGAAAGGTCCATTCTCCAGTGTTATGGAAGAGGGAAGTGGTAAGTTTTTAAAAACACAATGGGTTGCCAGAAAGCACTATAGACCTATAGATGTAAGGAAGTCGGGCATCCTGGTGTACTCAACACCTTTCCCGAGGCAGGTACTGCAGAGCCAAAGAGGCCGGTGGACTGCCAAGCATCAAAGGAAGTGGACTTGATGGAAACGACAGAGTGCCCGTCGAACCACTTACAGTGCAGCGGAGAGCCGAGCAGAGAGACAGGAACCCCTGTCTTCACATATTCTTGCTAATTGCTAATGAGAGGCTGAGGATTTATTTTAAATAGACCATAATCCCTTTATAACCCTCTCCTTATGCAACCACCTCTTTTCTGTGCCTTGCTTTTTTTAATGGCTTGGACAGGCAATTTAAACCGATTTGCTGGACCAGTTCCTACCAACTGATAACCAGAATTAGCATCCTACCTACCTCCCCTGGTTCTTCACTCCATTAATGTTTTATAAATACTCTAAGGCCAGAGCGATCTTCTATAAATTCATGATATGACACAAAGACACTATTTGTGGATGCAGAAGACGCTAAAAGGGAAACAAACTGGTCCCTCAGGATTTAGCAAGTACATCTTGATGAGGTTGACAGTTAGGTTTCTATTTTGTTATCATTAGAGATATAGCAAATGTCTATAAGCCTCAGGAAAAGGGCGACGCAGAAGTCAGGGGGGTTTAACTATGTGAACAAATCAGAATAAGCTAATTACTGGCTTTTTAGTAGTGAGCATGTTTCTATCAGGAGTGAAATGATTAAAACGCAAATACGTGCCACTGGGCCTGGGGCTTTGTGATGCCAGTTGGAAAAGGCCCCATTCCCCAAGTCTCAGCAAGCCCGACTCTGCCCCCTGGTGTTAAGGCAGCGGTTTGATTTGCAGTTTTAATTGAGGATGGTTATCTCTAGTCAAAGGGCCAAGGTGTATTATTAAACTGGTAATGCATGCAGACTGGTAGGTTTTTGTACGGTAGTAAAAGAAACCACCTAATAATTTTTAAGTCTTTGAAAATGAAAGCATATCCTTATTTAATGGCCATATTGTCCAGGTGTAGAATATGACCTCAGGAACCCCTCACCCCATCTCCTCCTGCCAATAAACAGTTAAAATAAAAGCAACTCACAGCCTAGATAATTGGACAACTGGCAACATTTGAATGTAGACTAAGTATTAGATAATAGCATTGTATCAACATTAAATTGTGTTGTGATTATGGAAGAGAACGTTCTTGTTTGTAGGAAATGCATGCTGAAGTGTTTAGGAATGAAAACTCAGTGTCTTCAACTCTCACATGGCTCAGCAAAGCAACAGTAATAATCCTATTATATGCAGACACATATATATGTGTGTCTATATATGTATGTATGTATAGATATGTTATATTTTACATATGGGAGAAAAAGCAAATGTAGCAAAATGTTAACTGGTGCCCTGGGCCGGTGGTTCAGTTGGCTGAAGCATCACCCTGTGCACCAAAAAGTGTGTGTGTTCGACTCCCAGTCAGGGCCCATACCTAGGCTGTGGGTTGGATCTCCGGTCGGGGCGCCTACAGAGGCACCCAAAGTTTCTCTTACATCGGTGTTGCTTTCTCTCTCTCTCTCTC